TGTAAAATGCAACACGGCTCAACTGCGCCCCCTACAATATTTCAGAGTCCCATCGTGGCTACGTTTCACCTCCAGCTACGGAATTCGCCACACATGTGTAACAACTCGTGATGCACAAAAAAGTCCATTAGCATGTTTCTGTAAATCCAACAGGAAATCCGCCATGTTGGAAAAACGGCGAGCATGCCGGGCCATTTTTCGTCAAAAATGGCCATTTTTGGCCATTTTCAAAATCGAACTCCTCCTAGGGGGTTCGTCGTACACACCTGACATTTGGTGAGCACAAACTACATGACATGGTGACTAAAAGTTCTTCAAATGCTCCGCAGATGAGGCCCGGTTTGGAAATGGCGGCCTGTCCAATTTTCGCAGTGTTTTTTGCATTCAACTGACTCTTGTCGGAAGGTCGTTTCATCGACAGCTACAAGATTCGCTGGGCATGTGTAGCAGGTCAGGACACACAAAAAAGTCAATCAACACCAAGCCCTAAACCCTACAGGAAGTCCGTTATGTTGAAAAACCCCTGTGACAATTTTGGTGCATTTGGTTGATTTTTGACCATTTTCAAAATCTATCTCCTCCTACAGAGAAGGTTGTACACACCCAAAATGTGGTCAGCACAAACTACAGGAGGTGGTGATTACACGTTAGTAAAACGGTCCCCACAAGTGTGACGGCGTGGAAATGGCGCCCCCCCTGAATTTGGCCACAACGCCATAAAACACCAGAATACGAGACGTGCTGTGTCTGTGCTCCAATCGGCCTGAAATTTTTACAGAATCTGGTGCAGTTCATTTTTGCAATTATTTTGAATGAGACATCACAATTTTCTGCGTACATTTAATTGTTTTTCCTGATGAAACTGTGTGTCATGCATGATATATTAACCCTATTCAGCATTTTAGGCATCTTTTGGACCCCAGGCCTTTTGGTTTAGGTGACAGGTATTTTTTTTTAAAATTTTAAAATTTATATATATATATATATATATGTATATATATATAAAGAGGGACATTTGTCATGCATTTGGAACCAAAAATATGTCAACTTATCAGAAAATCTATTTAACATTGTATAAAAGTCTGTAATGAACACCAATAAATATTTTGCATGTATTCCTTCTTGGGGTCCAATGAACCCTGAAAGGCCTACATATGGCAACATGAAAGTCCCGAATAGGGTTAAAGGACATTCGGCGACTTTTTTTTAACAGGTCCTGACTCTAATAACTGATATTATTTCCGTTTTTTTTTTTTTGTTTTTTTTTAATTTGCTTGTAAAGAAAGCTTGCCCTTCAAACTAGCCAGAAGGCTTTGGGGTTTAGAGGGTTAAATCAAAGTAAATTATGTTTTATCAGACAAACTTTTGTTGTAGATTAGTTTGAGTTTTTTGAAAATGAGATGTGTTTTTGGTAGTTCACCTCTTTGTGCACATCGCAATGTTGATAGTTAAACTATGTATTGTACGACACTAGTTGCCAGGTGTAGGAGCATGTACCAACATTCTCTTGCAAGCAAAGTGGTAAATATCCAGCTGTGGCCTTCAGGACCAAGCTTCACCTTCACCTCCTTACATTACATTTGTTGCACTCTCTGTTAAGCAAACTTTTACTACACTGCTGTTTGAAGCTACATCCTTAAAATGACAAACAGAGCTGTCATCTGACTGCAATGTGACTTGCATGAACGTGCATGGATTTGTGATAGAAGCAGTCAGGATGTGTGGGCGGGGTCTGCAGAGTATAAACACTGGGTACACACCCGACTGCTGCTTGGCTGGGCTTCAAGGCTTTAATGCATCCTGCACTCATTCATATTTCAGCCTGTTTGCTCATCCAGACACGACAGGAGACAACTTTTATTCCTTTTATCAGACAGCCCTGATCAGTATTAACCATGGCAATCAATAAATCCAAAGTAGCTATTGGATTTATTGTGGCAGGGGTTCTGATGCTGACTTTTGGACTGATTTTTTTGATTGTGGGTCCAGCTATAATGAAAGACCAAATAACAAAGGTAAGTTACATTGTAAAAAAAAAACAACAGCCTTTGACTGTATTTTTGTGTGACTAATTTTGTTATTTTACAGGTTTTTTGTGTTTTGTGAAAACACAGATAATATCCCCTAAAATCACATTAAAAAAGTATTCATCTACATGTTGATTGTAAAGCAACAGGCCAAAACTGTCTAAAATGCCTAAATGAAGAACTGGTATTGACAAATGCTATTTAAAAAAAAAAAAAGACTATTATTATTATTATTATTATTTTTGCATTGTGTCACTGTGAAATTGCACAGTTTTACTGTATTTAAGTCAGTTAAAATATAATTATTTTACAAATATTTGCCTATATTTTGACAGTTTTTGCAATTTTTAAATGTTAAACTATTTCATGTTTATTTGTTATTATATGTTTTCTGCCACCCCTGCTGCCAGATGTTTACAGTATCTTTTTATATCATTTTTCCCCCCACATCATGTCTTTAATAGAAATCATGAATTTTTGATTATTAAAGGAGCTTATTTTTACTTTGATGCACAAGCAATTTGTTACCTATTGAACACATTTCTCCAGAAGAAATAGTGAGCATTTAGGAAGACTGCTTAGATAAGCAAGTTTGTGGACTATTGTGTTGTCAATGTAGTGGTCCAACAGCTTGTTGTTTGAAAATGACACTGACTGCCAAGTCCAAACCAAGCACTACAGGTAAATAGATATCACCACAAAACCTGTTGATGCTTAAAGTAATGCATTTTTTGAATTACAAGTTTCCTGAAATATAAAATGTGCAAGTAAGGTGTTATATTGTTAAAAATATTCATAAATATCTATTAGACAATGTTACATAAACACTCAAATGTGTATTTTTATTTCCATTAATCTGAAAGATGACATGTTATGAAAGCTAAATATATCAAAGTTGAAAAAATGGACTAGTGCACAGCACAGTAGAATTTGATTTTTTATTATTATTATTGTTTTGTGCGAGATACACAACTATCCACTGTAGTGGCAAAATACTACTTTTAAACAAAGTATTTATTGTTTAAACATCCAAATAAGGTAGTATCTTGTTAAATATGTGCATAAATGTGCAGTAGATAAAGCAAGATAAAAACCCAATGCACATTTTAATTTCCACTTTGAGCAATACAATGTAGTGGCAAAACACTTTAAGTGAATAGGATAAAAAAAGAAAAAGAAAAAAGAAAAAGCTAAAAGATATAGATATCACCATGAAACCTTTCCAGTGGATTGCTTACATAAAGAACATGTTCTTTTTAAGTTTCCTGAAAATGAATATTGAATTATTCAAATGAAATATTATCTTGTTAAAACACACACACACACACACACACACACAAAATTGCATTATCTATTGAACAAGTAAAAATAACATGTAAATGTGTATTTTTCTCTCCATTAGTCTGAAAGTAGACATATTATGGAAACTAAATATACCAAAATCCTAAAATTGATCAGTGCATGACAAAACAATGTTCTTCCCTATAGTGTCTTCTGTGAAGTAAGGAGTTAAGGAGTTAAGGAGTGCATTGTTTCCTTTCATGAAATGAAATGAAAAATACTTTGTTTATCCCAGAAGGGAAATTCAGGTTTTTTTTTGTTTTTTTTTTATTCTTTTATTCAATTCATGCATAAATTATTAAAAACACTGAGTGAGAGTTTTTATGAAAATGTTTAAGTGCTTTCAAACAAGGCTTAAAACATGCAACCATTAGAATTTGAATGTCCAATTGGAAATCCCTTTAAGGCAAAACTCTACAAGTGAATAAAGTAAAAAAAATTTACCAATAGAAATCAACATCAAAGTCCCCCAGTTAAGCACCTACAATGAGAAAAAAAATTACAAGTTTTAAAAATTTTTATTATGTAATTGATTAGATTTATATAGCGCTTTTCTAAGCACTGAAAGACGCTTTACACTGTTAATTGTTCATTTACAAACAACAATCTGGTGGGGGTAGCTATGACTGTAGCCACAGCTGCCCTGGGGCAGAGTGACAGAGGTGTGGCTGCCATTCTGCGCCTACGGCCCCTCCGACCACTACCTTAAACAATCCATTCATACGCATTCACAACAGGCAAGGTGAGTGAAGTGTCTTGCCCAAGAAGACAACAACCCTGACACAGGTTACAGGGCGGAATCAAACCGCCGACCTTCCGATCATTGACCAATGTGCTCTACCACCTGAGCGACAGCCACTCAGCATGTAGAATAAATGTAAACTTAACCTTAATGTGCATTTTTCTGAGATACTGTTCACTTAGGTGGTCCACTTCAAGCTCTCCAATTAATTGCTTACATTAAGAATTAAAATAAAATAAAATACATTTTTAAATTTTTTTTATTACTGATTTCATGAAATTTATGTTGAAGTATGGAATAGAGGTATATCTTGTTAAGAATGCACAAATTTGCTCTTCCACTTCCAAGATGAAAAAACCCCCACAAGATACACAACTGTAGCATTAAAACACTAAATATAAGCCAAAAGATATAACGATAAAACTTCCACAGCTGATTGCTTACATTAGGAAAATGTGTTATTTAATTACAATTCTCATGAAATAGTAATAATAATAATGATGATAATAATAATAATAATAATAATAATAATAATAATAATAATAATAATAATAATAATAATGAACATTTTCTTTCCACTTTGAACAAGATTCACAACTATAGTGGTGAAATGCTATTCTCTTTAGGAAGCTTATTTTAAAGATCTAAGATTTTTATTCCAGGATAACGGAAATATAATGTTTAATCACTCAAATACTATCTTGCATAAATGTCCGCTAGACAAAGTTAAAAATCTTCCTAATTTGTATTTTTGTTTCTACTAGTTTAAAAGCTAAATACCTAAATCCCTAAACATTGACCACGTAAAAATCTGTGCGTCTGAGTGAGAACTACCTTTCCCAGAGTCCTCTGCGCAACGGAGGCGTTACGAACAGAGTATAAATACGGCGACAATAGAAGCACGTTATCAATATCGATGACTAAGATCAGAAACGGGCACAGAGTGCAGCTTGGAGGGGACGATTTGTTTCACGCTGACAGGTAGTCGTAGTCGTTAGCAGGCAGGTAGCTCATCGTGTTTAGCCGCGCAGCTAACAGGAGAAGACACAAACAAACAGCTACAAACCGTGACTCAGCTGTCAACATGGCTATTGATAAATCTAAAGTGGCCGTCGGTTTCATAGTGGCAGGTGTCCTCACCGTCTTCTTCGGGACGGTTCTTGCGTTTGTGGGACCTTTAATCATCGACGACCAGATAGTGAAGGTAAGCAGCGACATTTAGCATGTTTCAACTAGCTCTAATGTGATGAGTCAACTTGGTTCAGCCTTTTCAGCAAAATCTGAAATTATTACAAGCGAGTGAAGCGAAATAGCTGCTAATAGCTACTTAAACTAGTACAGGTTATTACGGAAAGTGCTCCAACAAGTAAAAAGTAATGCATAGACAATGTAAGTTAAGTAAAAATATGAAAATACACTTGGAATAACATGCAGAACTGTTTAAAATATGAACAATTTCTGTCCTTGGGGCAGTTTAGGTCTTGCATTCCATCTGTTATAACTTCCAGTTGTTCTTGTTTTTACATTTTAAATAGTATAAAGTGGAACTTTTATATTCCTAGGACACATTCAAGTGTCAGATATTGCTCGGGGAAAATGACAATAATACGAGAAAAAAAATGCAGTAATTAGTTTTCAACTATTTTGCATTGCTTTAGTGTTTACAGCCAATGCGGTGGGGTGGTTTCTTTTGATTGGAAAAGGTGTTATTTTGTTTTATAAATTTATTTACATAGACAATATTTATTCAAAAACCAATGCAGATCGTAGTTCTTAGCATTACACACATAAATAGCACAATGTTCTGATGTAATCTTTCACTCAGAACAGTATTAGACTTCATTCTGTATTTTAAATGTAATTAAATATTGTTTCTAGAGCAGCAGCAGTGAATTCACAGAATGATCTTAATGATATCTCTCTGGAAACAAATGTAAAATACCAATAAGATATAGTATCTCTTACATCAAAGTGCAGTCTGGAAGAACGATGAATGAAAAATTAACTTGTCTGTGTTCTGTCTGCTGCAGATGTAGACTGCTTTCTCTGCCAGCTATCATAAGAATTTTAGGAAAGTGGCCAACTGAGCTGGCAGGAGGTGTTTTAGTTTGTTCATATGGACCGCAAAGGTCATAAAAACTGTGGAAAAATAAGGGCAGAGTGACAAGTTCTTAATTGAATATTTGACATTTTTGCCTAGAAAAATAATTTAAAAGTTTATAAAATATTTTGCTCTTAAGTTTCTGTCAATTAAGTAATCTTTCAGTTGTACATGTAGACCTCATCATGTGGTTTGTGTGCATAAAGCATAATTTGTATAGTAACAGAAAAGTATTTCTCTTGTAGTGCGCTTACATAAGAGGACTACACAGAGACAGTCTGGAGAAATAGTGGAAACATTTTCTGCTGATTTTTTTCTTCTTTAAAAGTTAAATTCAATTCAACTTTTGCTTTCAACAGCACTTAAACACTTCATGTGTTTTGTATGAAACAACTGTAACTGAAATAGTCACATAATTAAAGTAATAATTACTGAAATGCTTATATTTAAAATTTATGATAATTAACAGAACATCTCTGCATTTTGCACTGTTGGTCAGGGAAATAAGAAGTATTTTTTTCATTATTTTGTGAAACTGTGTGCTAAGAACATTCATAGAGAAAGTAATGAGCATATAAATCGATTTTTGTCATTTTCTTTTGTCTTTCATGTCAGAACACAATGATCGACCCAAAGAATGAAATGTCATATACCATGTGGAAGGACATCCCTGTGCCATTCTACATGTCTGTCTACTTCTTTCACATCCTCAACCCGAAGGAGCTCCTGAAGGGAGAGAAGCCCATGGTGGAGCAGAGAGGACCTTATGTCTACAGGTACAATGTTTAGCCTCCCTGAAAACTCAACCAGAACCCCATACAGGCATACATTTCTGCTGTACTACATTCTAGGACATTTTGTTCTGTAACCTGCCAATATGTTGCAAAATGTATTTTGAGGTTGTTTTGATTTTGTTTAGTTTTTAAAATTTCAGAAATTTAAATCTGACGGTCTTCAGTTTTATTGTATCTAGTTAAAAAACAAAAGCACTGACCATACGCAGGTTACTCAGCTCAGCTAGGTCTTTATATAAACTTGGCTCCCTCTCTGGAACACAGCGAGTACAATATGTAGGTCATGCGAGTAGCCCCAACTGTTACATAACAATGCATATAGCGTAGTCTGAAGCTGATGGTACATCCTGACCTAGAAATGTGGTTTTGAAGATTGCCATTTGATGCCAAGTTCCAGAGTAGGGAATACAGAAGTCATATTTTTAAACTGAAAAAGCTTCAGTAGGTCAAAATAAAAAGGAAGAAGTTTTACAAGTGTAAAGATATGTGTTGAAGGTTTGTATGTATTGTTTTGATCAGGTGATTAGACAGATCAAATCTCTGCAAACATAGTTCTCTATTGGTTTTCACAGCTTTCTTTTTCCAGAGAAGAAAAGCAGAGAGAGTGAGAGATGGTCTTGCTTATGGTTGCAGATATGTAGAAGTGACAATAAAAGCAGGTCAACAACATCAACCGCTGACTGTAGCTTGGATGAAGTGGTTTTTTTCATGCTGTTTGAGTCACATACAGTTAGCTAATTCTGATTTACATTAAAAAAAACAAACTGGGAAAAAAGAAAACAAAATCAACAATGAAAAATCACATTTCAATTAAATGTGTAGAAAAAATTGGGATATAAAAGTAATGTAAAATTAATTAAAGTACAGACATGTTTAACCAGAACAAATGGCAGACATTAAAAACACTGGAAAAACAAAAAGCTAAACAGATAGAGTGAGCTCTCAGTACGGTAATTAATAAATTCAAAGTGGCTGTTGGATTCATAGTGGCAAGTACGACTGAATGAGTAGCCGATTTCAAATCAAAAGCTGAAATGATGCACATCGCAAAGGCTGCGATTTAGCACATGCGAGGTAGCACATTAGTTTTAAAACTGTGGTGTTGGTGGTTTTACAGATTTATGTCGTGCTCCTTGTGTGACAGTAGCTGCGTTTCCATATAATTGTCAGGTCAACTTTAAGCAAACTTGTGCTATGCCGCTAGATAATGAAAAAAAAACATTAACGGGAACTGGTTCAATGAACTCCTCCAGAGTGAATAGCATGGAGTTGTCAGGGTGGCGCTATGGGCTACATCGGTAGCAGTCCATAGCGAACAAGATTTGTAGGACAGGACATCTTTGCAGCATTACAAAGTGTTATTTATAATGGTATGTTGTAACACCTAACTTTTATCAAAAAATTTCAGCTTCAAGTGCTAATATTAATTACAGCGGTTAGTGCTAATGTTGTAATAGTAATAAATTTTGTTTATAGAGCACTTTTCAAAACAAATATTAGAGAAGGAGATAATGCTGAGCTGAGAAATGGTGCTGGTGGAACACAGAGCACCTTCTGGATGCAGTTTAAGCTCACTGAGAACTCCACCACAAAGCATGCATGCTGTGCTGCAGTCCAGGACATTTTGTTCTTGCAACCTGCAAATGTGTTGCAAAATGTATTTTAAGGTCATATTGATTTGTCAAAGAGGACTCCTTGTGTGACATAATTGTCGGTCCTCAGTTTTCGTTGTACCCAAATAAAGCAAACTCACTAGATGCTGCTGACTCTGTTCAGTAAAGCTGTGTTTCTGTTCGTGTTTGACTCTTGTTTGGGAACAGTATGTGTACATAGTAGGGGGAGATTCAACATGCATACAGTTTAACCTCTGTCTACCAGTGCGGTGGGATGTGCTTCTAATTATGTTAAGTAACAAAGCATAATATATGGGGGGAACTGATCTGAAACATGTGCTGTCCTAAAACTCATTTTATTGAGGAGTGATGTATATCACAAAAAGTTCTAGTACAACGGTTACATAACACTGGTTCTTATTACATTAAGAGTAACTTAAAGCCAAATCCAGTTTAAAAAAAAGCTGCAAATGGGGCTGGAACATAAGATTCTTAGTGTTGCTGATGGGATGCAGACTATGGAACATTATGTCATATTGTCAAACTGAAAAAAAATGCTATAAATATGAGAGTAAGAGAGCTTAAAAATTAAAAACAAAGGTGCTGTAACTTTTAAACAAAGTTTAGAAGGGATGCATGTATTGTGGATTTGATAGATTGGGGGGGGGGGAATCTAATAGCTGTAAATATTAATTCAAATTTTAAGTTTTCCTTCTACACAGCTGCACTCACATTTTCAGTGTTTAAAATTCTCCAGCTGTATCATCTTGTTTTCCAGGGTCAAAACAATGTAAATGCTGATCTAAAAAAAACAAACAAACAAAAAAAACCAGAACATAATATACTGTAAACAACAACAACAAAAAACATAATAAAATTGTGAAATTCTGGCAGCAAGGATATCAGATTTTTAATTTTTTTTAAAGGAAAGTTATGTTCAAAAACTTTAAAAATGGTAGAAAAAAAAGACATCTGTACAATACAAATGGGGGAATTATGTACAGTTTTGGCCTGTTTCTTTACAATTAGTATTTTTTTATTTTTATTGAATATTCTCTATAATTTATTTATTTATTAATTTTTATTGGCAAATGACTGTAAAATAATGTTGTTTTGCTGTTTCAATTCCAGTAAATTTTTTTGTAATTTTAAGCCTTTTCATGTTATGGTAAATAGTCTGCACTTATTTAGCACTTTTCTACCTTAGTGCTACTCAAAACGCTTTACATTGTGTTTCACACTCATCCATTCATACACACATTCATACACCAATGGTGACAGAGCTGCCATGCAAGGTGCTGCTTGCCATTGAGAGCAACTCGGGTTTCAATGTCTTGCCCAAGGACACTTCGACTGTGGAGGGGCGGTTATGTTATTAAATACTTGTCAGCTTAGTCACGTTATAATTAGCAGGTTAGCTGCTCTGCCAGTGACCAGTGTGAAGTGGATGGGCAGTTCACTGTCTGGCTACCACCAAGATTTTGCAAATTAAAAAGTTTTGTTCTCAAGACTTGCATAACATTTTAATAGGAAAGATTATTTCCTAATCTAGCATAATGTTAAGAATTTCAAATTGTTTCTTTTTTCAGGTTTGAAGTCCTGTAAATGCTGATCTGTAAATTTGTGCACATATGTTGGGGTAAATGATTTTACACAGTTACACTCGAAGTACAGACTGTTCTCTCTGGGTTAAAAACGCCCACTTCTCAGACAGCTGCCCGCACAGTTGTAAGTGTGCAAAGACACATGTTTTCTGGCAGCGTTGTCGGGGAGGGGGGGAGGAGGAGGAGGAGGAGGGGGGGGGGGATGAGGGGGATGAGGGGGAGGGGGGGCAGGATGGAGGTGGGGGCGTTTGCTCTCTGCTGATGTACTGTCCAATAGCGCCACGTGCCCAGGATGCAGGGTTCGTATCTCGCTGCCACGGGCTGCTTTTGTTGCACAAATGCAGCCCAAACAAAACTTGCAGGTGATTACCAAGTTAATTAGCTAAAGTATGTTTGCAAAGTTACTCTAACCTCAAAGACCAGATCCATGGCTAGTGAGACATGGCTCTTAAATGTATTTAGCATATTCAAAATCAGCATCTGATCAAGGGTTCATGAGGTTGTGTGAACACGTTTTCTTCCTCTTTCAGAAAGCGATGCCAGAAAGACAACATCACATTTCACCCCAACAACACAGTGTCCTACAGAGAATACAGGAAGTACTTTTTCGAGCCCGCCATGTCTAATGGGACGGAATCCGATTTTGTGACCATTCCAAACATGTTGGTGTTGGTAAGAAGTTGTTTCTCCCTCCTCGTTGTGCATTACCTGTTTAGTTTAGTTCTTTCTTCACTCGTCTGCTCCTGTGGTTTCAGGGTGCAGCGGTGATGATGGAAAATCTTCCGTTTGCTGTGCGTTTGATGATCAGCGCCACTTTCAAGACATTCAACGAGGGGCCCTTCCTGAACAAGACAGTGGGGGAGCTGATGTGGGGTTATGACAGTGGTCTGGTCGATTTCCTCAATACATACCTGCCCGGCATGCTGCCGTCTTCGGGAAAGTTCGGTCTTTTTGCAGAAGTGAGTCGTTAAAAGGCTTTACAATTTTGAGGTTCAGCTTTATGATCTCCATGCGGGGGGGGGGGGACAGGATGACATGGAGACGACATGCCAGCATGCATTGCTGAAGTGATCGGTTTTGTGTGTTCAAAGTTGAAAGCCCTCTTGATTTATATTTAATGGCACATTCTTTACATATAATATGAAAACCATTGGCTGGGTGTTCTTTCGGCTGGTTCATCACCAGGGAAACTAGTGACCTTAGAACAGCATGGTGCCCAACTTTACCATTCATAATGGTCTGTCAGGCAGAATTTGACCTTTTTTGGAGCTGCTTTCTTATTGACTACAGCTCATAAATCTCAGCAGTGCTTGCAGTGTCCTGTGGCAAAAGTTGAGCCAGGTTATTTATGTTTCTGAGGCCTTTGGCTATTAGAAAGCTCATCATTGCATAGAGATGTTAGTATCTACATATATTGCCATCTTTGCAGTGCAGTCACGTATATTAACAAATCAAACATTTACCAGGTTTTCGACTGTATGTGAGCATCTCATCTTCCATTGGACACCAAGCATGTATTTTCCCATTTTTCAAGTTCCAAGTTATACACTGTCCCACCACCATGGTTTTAATTCCAGTCTCTCAAATCTGAGCATTTGCTGCTGTTTTTTTGTTGTTGTTGTTGTTGTTGTTGTTTTTTATTGTAAATTAACATCTATCTTAATTACCCTTGCTCAGCGTGATTTTTTTACTTGTTCAGTCAGGAAATTATAATCCCATGCTGATAAAGTATGGTATTATCTTTATTTAGTTCAACAACTCCAACACTGGTCTGTTCACCATTTTCACTGGAAAAGACGACATCAGGAAGGTGCACAAAGTGGACTCCTGGAATGGCCTGACAGAGGTGGGACGCTGACATGGTACCTGTAGCTGTTTTATGTTTGTTTTTCACCAAAGTCTGACTGTCTTCTCTTTGTTACCAGCTAAACTACTGGAGGACTCCTCAGTGCAACATGATCAATGGAACAGCTGGGCAGATGTGGCCTCCCTTTATGACAAAGGAAAGCACGTTGCCTTTCTACAGCCCTGATGCCTGCAGGTAAAAAAGCCTTTTTTTCCAGTTCTTTTAAGAAAAAAAAATCTCTCACAGGTCCTGCATACTTAGAAATTTTCCTTTTCCAGATCAATGGACCTTGTTTACCAGCGTCCTGGCGAGATGCATGGTATCCCTCTATATCGATATGTTGCGCCCAAGACCCTGTTTGCCAATGGGACAGATTACTCTCCCAACGAAGGCTTCTGCCCCTGCAGACAGTCCGGCCTGCTGAACGTTAGCAGCTGCCGTCACAGTGAGTATCTGTGCATCTGTATCACAAAGATTACAGATGTTTGCTTTGTAGTTCATGAGATTACTGTCTGAATGTGACATAATCATAATGATGATACCATTTATCAGCCAGAAACAGAAAAAGTCTATCTAAAGATTTTCAACTTTCTGATGGACCTTGTACACATGATAAGATAAGATGAGATAAGATCGAACGGTAATAATCTTGAAATTCTTGTGCCTCATACTGCTCAGAAGAAATTACAAAAACATGAAAGCAGTACTTCACAGAATAGCAATAAGATATAACTATACTACATTACTAAAAATAAAAATAAAACTAAGCTAAAATAAGGCAAGAACAGATAATTAGGAAGTAATACTGTGATACTGAAGTAGTAATATTGCACATAATATTGAAATATTGCACATGAAATAACATATGTCATGCATGACATATGGTTAAATCAGGAAGACCAACCAAATCTCAGCTTAAAATTGTGATATTTAATCGTAATGACTTTATGACCAAAAATATAGCATTTGCACCAGATTCTGCAAAAAATACATATCCTGCGCTTCTCAGCACAACTGAGATGTCATGATTCATTCAACTATGACCAAATTTCAGACGTTTCCAGCTGAACTGCAGGCTGTGTTTATACAGAGCAGAGAGGAGATGACAAGGGAGACTGAGAGGAAAATAAAACATACTGGATCAATATACAGAGGAGCAAGTTGTTGGAAGATACATTAGGCATGGTGAATGTCTTTCTGGAGCTGATGTGCAGAGTAGTGGAAAAAATGTTTGTAGAGGCTGTAAAATGTAAATAGTTAGTTATCTAGTATGTAGAACAACCAGTGAGCTCAATCACCAGATCTAAATCCAATTGAAAATTATTTTTAAAAATGGAGAAAGACAAGCTCAAAAACAAAGCAAATGTGTTTGAATTTGTGCAACAGGAATGGGCTACTGTGACAGCAGAACAATGTCAGAAGCTGGTGGAGAGCATGCCAAGATGCATGGCTGCAGTCATCAAAAACAATAGTTATGCAATCAAGTACTAACTCCTGTGTGTATAATGTAGCTAAAACAGACAGAAAAGAAAACATGGAATGCCTAAAAGCACTGTTTTTGGCAGTACAATGCCAAAAGCTGTTGATGTATAAGTGATTTTGGTTATTAAGAAGAAAACCATGGAAAATGGCTAGATTTCAGCTCTTAGATTAAACTCTTATGAGTTATTTTTATTTTTTATCATTATATTTGTCTAACAAATGTACCTTTATTTGTACCAGGCATTAAAATGAACAAGAAATTGAAGAAAACAAGGGTGGTCTAATAATTTTTTCCATGACTGTATGTTTTTAAGAGGTGTTTACATATTTTAACAGAGCTTGCCTCTCTGTTATGGGAAAGGCTGTTTCACACCTCAGGCACAGATTAAAAAAGTTGCATGTCCAGTTTATGTTGTTGTGGTTTTTAGTCAGCAGAAGGCAAGTTTTGGATTGATTTACACAAATTCTGCTTTAGACATCTGCGATTTTGAGGGTTTTCTGAGGTTCGGCTGATTAACTTTGCCATTCTTTGTCCACTTCAGACTCTCCAGTCTTCATCTCTCATCCCCACTTCTTTAATGCTGATCCTGTGCTACTGGACTACGTGCAGGGTCTTAGTCCCAGTGAGGAGAACCACGGCCTCTTCATAGACATCCACCCAGTAAGCACACACAAACAAACACACACACACACCACACACTGTGTACACACGCTGTACAGCTCATCTTTTCAACTTATTTATGTCGCTATGTACGCCGTTTGCATAACGCCTGCCCAGTAGCTAGTTCAGCCCTTTGACAAAGAATGAGGAGCTTCCTCAGTCTGACATTGTTTAGTTGCTAGAGCTGCAGCCCTGTACACAGAGATCTGGGTTTACGAACTAAAGTTACCTGCCTTTTGTCAAGACATCTGACCAATAAGAACAGACTAGGCTTTTCAGGAGGGGGGCACAGGGGGGGACAGGAAGAAGAATCGTGGGGTTTTTGAGGAGTAAAGCATATGAAATGCGAACATTGTGGGCACTTTAACAGAAACCTCAGCACTGTTGTCCTTGAGGCCTGGTTTCAGTATGAGCAGAGGTGGACTGATTGCATATCGCGGACCTTTATCATGTGTCATGGTCAAGTGCAATTTTTTTTTATTGCAGAACAGAAAAACATGTTGGGGTCCGACTGACATTTAACCTCAGTCAGGTCTAACAATAGCAAGATCTTTTGAGAGTGGGTGAAGGATGGAATTTTTACAGTTTTACTGCTGAAATTGAGTCCAATGCGTTCTGTAATACTTAAAGATTGCTTTTGCTACAGCCATACTCTTAGTGTGCTGCGGTCAAAGAGTTGAGTGGAAGTATTGAAATCGCATTGAAGCTATACAGTTATCAAAGTATCTGAGCGATGATAAAGAATGTTAGACATTTGTTGTTCTTCATAGTAAAAATCCCTGATGATATCTGCTTTTATTGCATTGCAGTAACACACTGACCAATGTATATGATGACTGCCTAGCTGTTTTATTTAACTGCAACTCTGATAAGTTTGATAACGCTGCCATGGTTCAGCTTGTTTTAAATTCCTTATGCAACTGTGCCTGTGTAAATGTCACCTGCAGTGTCTCTGACTGTAATCTGCATCGCGATAAGGTAATTGGAAATTGGGCTATTTCTCCATAATTGTCATTGTTTGCGAGTTAAGGGTTGTTAGAAAATTTCTATGGCCGCAATAAACAAATCACCTTTGATAAGGGAATGGTTTTCAAATCCAGCGAGTCTACTTTTATATCAAGTTAATAATTAAGTCAACCAAGGCTTGGAGTTTTATGAATTTATTGCAAATGAAGGAGCCAGTTCTGGGCTGTGACCTAACTGCGCTACAGCTGAGATTATTATAAGTTGCTGTATTTATATACTAGAAAACACAGCTAGACAATGTAATTCTACACACTTATGGGTTTGCTGCTTACAAAAAGAAAAGGAAAAATCTAAATGGTACAGCACATACATGCCTTTCAGCCTGCTGGATGTTTGTTTCATACCAAACCCCACATTTCCTGCATGTTACTGCTACATCTGTCAAATCTAGGCAAACTGGAAACTGGAATCTTGACTTGCCATACTTACCACACATCAACACCATTGCTCCAATACAACCCTTTTTTACTTACTTTTTTACTTTTTAAGTTTTGATTTTACATCAACTGACCATCACTGCAGCTCATCTTTCTGTTGGTAGAAAAAGAAGAAACGTTAGCTGACAGCTAATGGTTTTTTCTACCCATTGAGGGTGTCTGGCTGCTCTTCTTCATATCTTAGGCGTACACAGTTTGTTGTCCTCTTCCTGAGCAGAATAAAATGCCTACAGGAACTGTAGTTGAGTCTTTAATTGCACATCTGAACTGTAAACATGTTGCTGATATGTTAGCTCCTTAATGAAATATTTGCACCGCAGCTACAACAACAATGTGGTTACTGCTGCTTAAACAAACAAGTTTATTTGATATTTTTAGCTGCTTTTCATGGGTAGTTAACAAATAATATATTAAAGATTGAAGTTACAGCTGCAGTTACCATCATTGTTGTGTTGTGAATGAAGTCACGTGTGTACAGATTAGTGTTAAAGTTTTATTTCAACATTATAGAGCGATACACACGTGGACAAAATTGGTGGGTACCCTTCGGTTAATGAAAGAAAAATCCACAATGGTCACAGATATAACTTGAATCCAGACATTGGACTGTTCTGAAGTGGCCTTCTATGAGCCCTGATCTAAATCTAATTGAACATCTGTGGAAGGAGCTGAAACATGCCGTCTGGAGAAGGCACCCTTCAAACCTGAGACAACTGGAGCAGTCTGCTCATGAGGAGTGGGCCAGAATACCTACTGAGAGGTGCAGAAGTCTCATTGACAGTTACAGAAATCGTTTGATTGCAGTGATTGCCTCACAAGGTTGTACAACAAATAATTAAGGTAAGGGTACCATCATTTTCGTCCAGGCCTGTTTCATGAGTTTATTTTTTTAAATAATTCAGTTAAACCACGGTTCAAAAGCAATGTCTGATTTTCACTGGTTAATTTCCATAGAATTTTTCTATTTATTATTACTTTTGTCAGATTCAAGTTATTTCTGTGACCATTGTGGGTTTTTCTTTCATCAACTGAGAGGTACCAACAATTTTGTCCGCTTGTGTATGTCAATTACAATTTGCATTTAATTAAAAAAATACCAAACCTGTGGTACTGATGTTCCAGTGTTTGTTTAGAGATTATTACAAATATCCGGCACATAATTGTTTAGCAGCATTACATCTAATTAGTGTCTGAAATGTATCAACAGCTGTCTGCCTTTATTCCCTGCTGAGGCATTTGGTTTTTATTGGTGTAAAACAGTCTAGAATAAGTGTATCATTATAGAAAATGTACAGACCACTCATATCTGTCTGTATCAGCACTGTTCCAGCTGTTACTGCTGGTGTCCCACATCACCACCAGCTACATTCCTATTGTTTATCCTCTGTCACTGATTTCCGCCCAACTTTAGTTCTTATTAACTTTTTATCAGAGCCATATGTCCAAAGCGGAGCTCTTAAATCCGCTTTGTGGACACATTAAGCCAAAATCCTTTAAAAGAAGAAAAGGGAACGAAAGATATCGGTTGAATGTACAGTATGTTTGCATTAACATTTTTCGCATATGGAATATCAAGTTTAAGCTCCCAGGAATTTACAAAAGTGGAAAACTGTGCTAATGTTTCAGCGCCTGGACAATTTAGTAGTCAAGTTCAACAAAAGAACATTTTGTGCTCAGTTTGTACAGATGTTTTCTTCTGCACAGCTGGCTCATATAGTTTGCTTTTGTACTGCCTTGTATCGTTGAAGCTGCATTGAGATAATGCAGAGGTGACAGTTGACAGTCTGTGAGTCTGATGGGGATTTGACGTTTTTCTGACAAAAGTAAGATCAACTGGTCCAACAGTTTCCGAGTAGAAAGTACAGCTTCACCACTGCTTTTGTTTTTTATTGACTTCAAAATGCACATAAAATGGACACAAGACAACTACTTTTTTTTTTTTTGGGTCAAGTTGTTGTCATTATGGCAACAATCTGCATCTAAAGCTTGCTCTAAAGTCAACATTTTGTTATGAAAACACATTCACTGAGAAATATTGGTGTCTGTCTTCATGGAATGTGAGCTAATATTTGGCTAGAAAGTGGTTCAATTTGTTCCCAGTAAAGTCACTGATTGGGTCTGAAAAGGAACCAAATCTAGTTGTAAACCTGCTGCTATTCCACTTGTGAATGACTACTCACTCTGTAAAATAGATACTTATAAAGTAACATAAGTAATATGTTTTTCCTTTAACCATTCCCCATGTATTGACCGGAGAATGCTGTTGTCTATATCTACAGCAAGTTTAATTTCCTGCAGGTTCAGACACTGAATCATTTCATTCTGCCTGAGGACAACAAACATGAATGCCAGTAATTCAAGGACCAGATGCCCGAGAAATAGGTGTGGCGTGAGAGTCATGCGGTTATGAAAGGGATACCACAAGGCTTTCGAAAACGTGCAATTACAGAAAACCCCAAAAATTCTTGTTCATGTGTAATGATAATGAGTCAGGAAGTGAGATGGACTGTCGAAGCAACTGTCGAAGCATGTCTTGCTAGAAAAAATTTTTTTTTGGTCACGAGAGGATCTGAGAAAATTCAGACTGATTGCTGAATCCAATTCAGTAGTTAGTCACTTCATTCAGAGTGTGAGCTGCAGGTCTGGACAGAAAATTCTGTCAGAAACACACCCAGGATACTGGGACTATACAAAATATACAAGTTGAAAGTTGCCGAAACACCCTGAACAGCGGTCAAACTTCAGAAGTCTTTACTATGTAGTCAACAGTCTTTAATGTGTTCGGCAGTTATTTTCTGACATGTTTGGTGTGTTTGTAAAGGAAAAATACATCCATTGTTTTCTAGAGATTTATTGTTTTTTTGCTGAAATAGTTTTAAAGAGGTATTGAGTCAACTGATTATGTTGGAAGATGTAATTTGTTAAGCGAATAGTTTTTTCTATTACTTTGTTCACCTAATACATAAAAAAGACATCTGACAAAATCACTGAAATACCTCCCTTTTATGATGAACAAACTGCAGCCTGACAAAGAAGTTGGAACAAGACCTCATTTTGATACAGTTTCAGGACAATCTGAACCTTATGGCCTTATGGGTGGAGACCTTGTGGCAGGACTACAATAGTTTGTACATATATGGTCCAATAAATGATCTGGACCAGTTTAGTTGCAGTTAAGTGATGTCATAGATCCACAGCATAGATATAGTCCCAACTGTAGGTCTGAGGGGGGGCTTTCTTAAATTTTAACATGACAAAGCTCCTATAAGCAAAACCAGCTGCCTAAGGAAAGGCTCTCTAGTTTGGGATAACCTCTTTTGACTAACCATCTATTCCACATTGTGACTTGACCGTTGAGTTTACCCAAAATGCACACTTTTACAGTTATCTGCTGTAAATTATGTGGATAAAAGATAACACAATACCAGTGCTTGGTTCCATTACACTGTCACAGACATTACACTGCTGCCGTTATGCATGTTTTCCCATAACCTGATGGAAAAGGGAGCAGGATGTTGTGTGCTACGGTTTCATGCCCGTCCATCTAACTTTTTTTATTTTTTATTTTTTTGTTTTTTGTTATGCCAGTTGCCGGCATCTGTCTCCGAAATATTTATTTGATGTCAAAACTGGATTAAAGTCCTGTGAAAGACCTGCATAACATGACCCCCTAAGGAATCAGTTCGACATAAGGATTTCCTTCTTTTGTTTACTCTGTGTGGCTGGAGATTTAAATGTTCCAGGATTATTGTCTCTTATTAAGAAAGTGGAAACCTTTTTTCTTTTTCTTTTTTTTATTCCCTGTGTGAGATTTGAGATGTGTGTTGTGTGTCTTTGCAGCAAACTGGTGTGCCTCTGAACGTAGCCATCCGCTTGCAGCTCAACCTCTACATGAAGAGAGTGTCAGGAATTACGTAAGGAAACTATTCCCCGAAGTAATATTGTGCAATGACATTTATCATGTATTGTTGTTATACCTTTCCATCATTCAGTATGGAGAGCTGCTGAATGTTTCCTGCCTTTATTACATTTGCTGTGCAGCCTTGGAGTTTGACGCTCAGTGTTTTTGTCTTTGTAGAGAAACTGGCAAGATCTCTGAGGTAGTGATGCCCATGATCTGGTTTGAGGAGGTAAGTTGTAAATGATGGAACCATTTTAAGTGCAGTCGTTAATGTTTCCACTCTTTTGTATGACTGTTGTTCCTGTTATGCATCTCCTCAGTACCGTTGGCTTGCATCACTTTTCACAAAAATTGCCAGAGTTTCCACATTTTAAGAAAGTGCTCGTTACAGATAATGTACAAACTTTTTCACACTACTCTACTCTGAACCCTAGATACATGCTTCACCGTGTTGAATGCATCTTCCAACAACTTGCTCCTGTGTATACTGTTTTTGAGCCATGATGGATTTATTTTATTGATCCAGGATGTTTGATTTTCCTCTGTCCCTTGTGCTGTCACTTCTTTTCCTGGAAAACTCTCTGAATTTTTAACTGTTAGTCACAGCTGAGTCAGTCGTGGCTGCTCAGCAGCACAAGGGAGCCTGATTTTAAATGAGATGCTGCATAGAATGAAGGGATTCTAATGAAATATCACAATTTTAAGCTTGGATTTGGTTACTATACCTGACATATGTCAGTCATGATTAGTTCAAGGAGCATGAGAAAGTTAAAAACTTTACAACTACTTCTGTTTTTAGAATGTCTGACTGATAAATGCTGTCATTTTGGAGACTATTATTTTTTATTTTTAAATATCACGCCTTTAAACTCACTGGCGACTTTTGGTGTTCAGATGGTTACGGCTCTTTCCAGTAGAGTTTTGCACAGTCATTCTCTGTCTGAGGCAAATCAAGAATCATATTAAAACTGCAACTACTGTGTTTGATTTACTTGTCCTCCTCCTCAGAGTGGCTATATTGACGGCCCCATCCTCAAAACGTTCCACACAAGCCTGGTTGTTCTACCTGCTGTGATGGAGTACATGCAGTACGGCTTCATATCGCTTGGCCTGGCGACCATAATAATTGCTGCACTGGTGCATTACAAAGTGAAGGTAAAATGCCACACAGCATGCAGCATGTTCACAGCTGAAATGCATGTAGCCAGTTGCACAGTTACGCATGTTCTCTCACAAGTAGATGGAAAAAGGAGCAGGAGGGATTGTGGGGAAAACGTATGAAATAAACATGTCAAAATGGGTAATCTGCATCTAATATGTACAAAAGGCATATGTTCGAAGATATAAAATTTAAAATCCATTAATTACTACTGCTCATGTAGAAAAATACAGGTATAATCTGAGTTGTTATAAACCAGATTGACCTTTTCAAAGGAAAAGTCTGGTGTTATTTTACACTTTTCTGACTGACTCTGGATTCTTTCTGGAATCCAGATTTGAATCTTTAAGAACATCTCACAAATATGTGTGAGTGTTTTTTTTTTTTTTTTTAAATTGTTAAACGTAATTTTATGAAACTGCTGGACATTTTCGTTTTTAGAAAATGTTACTCATATAGGAGAAGATACTGTAATATTTTAGTTGGGGACTATGATTTGTGTCATACTGATCTATTTTGGATTTATTTTTATTTTTTTTATAAGAGATTTAGCCACAAATTTAAGAACTATTATACATCACCAGATTTAAAATGTAATATTCATAGTAAATGCATAGTGTAGTGGTCATTTTGAGCTCCAGTGCGCCGTCACTCTTGCTCCTCTGCTGACATGTCCGACTTCAACTGGCTCGACAGAGCAAAGTTGCTTGTTTATCTTCACACTGAGGCCAACATGTAAAATATTGTCTGTTATGGCTACATTAGCTGTAGTACAGCACATGGTAGCACTTATCAGTAAGGACAAGGTAACAAATCTTGTGTTGTGTCATCCACATTGTACACTGCTGCCCTCTCGTTTGGGAGCATTCTGTTTTCAGTAAGTCAGCAAAAGTTTGATCTCTTTTCTACCTCAACATCGAACCCTCACGTACAGCTTTAAACTTAAACTTGTTGATTTTGAGAAATATATAAATTCACAGCTGACATCTTCATTTCTCCTCGATTAGTTGTCAGTGTCAAACAGGAAAAGGAAAGTAAAGCCCATTGCTGACTTGCCTTATCAGCGTCAGTCCTTCATGTGTGTGAAGAGTTACGAAACACATCACAGTTGATGTTGTATAATATCATAAAACCTACCAGTCAATGTTAATGACTAATGCTGATGTTAATGTCAGTCGCAGCACAGCTGTAGTGTTTTTTGTTGTTTTTTTTCATTGTAATGTTCGGCATTTTTGGCAGGCGGTCAGCAGCGCCATAAAACAAAATAAGGTCAACAGTTTCAGGTGTCAGTGACATCAAGGCCAACAGGGGATTGTCTAGCTGTGAGGCGACGGTCCTAACCACCAAGTCGCCTTACAGCCTGTCAGTGACATGTTTTTGTTTTTTTTTTTAAAAAAGCAACACAGCCAGTTTTGATATCAAGACTGAAAATGGGTTTATTTTTGTGTGTTTGCAGAAGTCCCGCACAAATACTGCAAACATCTCCACAGAGGTGGAAAAAACTGGGGTTTGTAAAATCTTCTCAATCATCCAAATCCAAATTATTTAGCCAATTTTGATCATCGGTAGTTATCAAACAAGTTGATTGTGAGGTTTCTTTGAGTCTAATCAGTTGATAAATAATTTAAAAGGAGCTGAAATTTACTTTGAAATCAAATGCACTAAAATTCTGTTTAAACCTTTTTTCTTTTCTCCGGATTTCCCTCTTTCAGGACAGTAATTGTGGTCCACAGATCAATAAAAACACGATGTGATTTTAAAACAATACGTCAGATATTTATTCTTCATATGTTTTGTATTCCGGTAGCGATATTGTTGTTGTTGTCTTAGTACAATGCCAATTTATTTTGTGTGCTATTGGAAGGCATAATATGCATTTTAGGTGTCACTGGACACCAAGAATGATCCTCTCAACCTTTAACCCTAATCCTACCCGTGTCATTTTAACTGTGTAAAATGACACCGTTTAAAACATAGCATGCAAATAGTGCCTGAAGTGGTGCATTTTTAAAAACTGAATAAGTATATAATAGTTATAATAACTAATAATAATCCTTTCAGCTGGGCCTGAGATGATAAGCCAAATAACAGATTATTGGCAAATACACAAAGGCAGTTCAAAGTGCATTCAATTGTTGAAAAGTAAGTGCAAAAATAAGCAAGTATACAATAAACAATAGTATAAAGCCGGAATTTACAGAATATGTGAACATTTATTAGCAACTGTTTTGAAAATTCCTCTCGTTAATCACCATTAACATCATTTAGAAGGCAAAAAGTCAAACATTTACTGGTTTCAGTTTCTCATATGTGAATATTTCGTCGCTTTTGTCTTCTATATTTGAGTTTTGACGGCATAAGGGAAGTGTCTGTGTATAGCACATTTTTAAGCAAAGGTAATTCAAAGTGCTTACTATATATATATATATATATATAGCATTTTTTACCTACTATATATAGGTAAAAGGTTAAATATATATATTTAGAAAGTAAAACAAATAAAAAGATTTAAGTTAAACTGGATAGAACAGTAAATTAAAAGATGTAAAGATAAAGTATAAAACAAATAAAAATGGAGACCACTTCAGTGAAAATACGGACAAGTTTGAATTAAAATGTATAGAATACGTCAATGTGGCACACTCATTTGCTTGCATTACAATAGCAGCTGAAATCTGTTCTAAGCTTGTTGTAAGTAAAAAGGCAAACACTACCGGTGTCACCTTCTAAAATGTAGAAAAAAGATAGTATAAAGTAAACTAAAATTTATAGACTATCTAAATATATTAAATTAAATTGGTAAAAGTAACTGTTGTTCAGCATTTATTAGTGCCAACTCCAACACTGTCAGTGCACAAGTGTAAATGCTCACAGTGGATCACCCTGTTGTAGATTCACTGCAGGAGTATAAATCGAGCTTTAGCCTCAGTTAATCAGACATTATCTGTAGAACAGAGTTTCCATGTTGACGCTTGTCTTATGCCTCGTTGCACTCTGTTGAGGTGGGCAGTTGATGCAATCAAACCTCCTGCCTCCACATTTAATTTTACCTAATGACATTAAAACCACTGAATTAACCAATGGCATGTCCTCTTAATTAACTGCATGGTTCAATTGAACACTGCCAGAAACAATTTCCTGCATGAGCTTACGGTATCTCGCTACAATCTAAAATAAAAACTATGCAGCAGCTTGAATAACACCAGCAATTTATTGTCTCTGTATTTTCTGATTGGCTCTTGAGTAAAGCAATATGGTCGTCTTTTAGGCCTCTGATAAGGAGCCGGTAAAAGGCTCACATGGCCTTGACCCGCAGGAAAAAAGTATCATGAGTTATTCAGGTGGGTGCACACACAAGGTCATGCACATGTACAGCATAAATGTTTTCAGTATTTTTGTTCATTTGTGTTTAAGCTGTGGAGGTCATCATAGAAACATATGTTCTGCCTAACATGGAAAAATAACTGATACTTGAATTTGATCCTGGGTCATTCCATACAAAGTCAATTAAATCTACAAAACATCCCCACATGACCTTCTCTGTATAATAACTTCAGTGTATTTAATGAAGCCATGAAAATTTTCACCCTCTTATACCATGAATATTTTCAGAGTTGCAGACCCTTGAAATACAAGGGTGGTTTAACATTTTATGCTTTATAATTTACTTTTGACAGCATGTTTGGGCCTCATAAGTATAATATTTAGAAACTCGACATTTAAAAGAAAAAAAAAGAAAGAAACTGCAACCAAAATTATTCACAATCTAAAAACAAAATCAGTTTTTTATTCAGCATAATTTTTTTTTCATGTATAACCAATTTTAAGCATCAGTATCATTGAAAATATGATATTGCATCCCATGATACTGATGCGCAAAGTCAGTTATTTGAAATATCCTGCTGAACAAAAAACAGATTTTAGACTTGATGTAAAAATAATTTGGTTGGTTTGGTTTTTTCATTCCAACAAAAAAAACAAAAAAAAGAATTATTTTTTTTTTATCTATCTCCTGTCCTTGTGAAATTATGAGAGCTCAAAAATACTGGAAAAGCAATTAAGAAAATTAAAACAATTAGAATTTTGACCCACTTTTATGTACTTTAAAGGCCTATAACTAAAGATATTCCCAGTATGAAGGTAAAATGTTGCTCAAGTTATTGTACATTAAAAAATCAACTGATTCTCAGAAGCTCAGTGGGCCACTGATTGACTTTTCATGGAATATCTCATCTGCACATGTTGTACAGCATAATCCAAAGCATTAAAACAATGAAATATATGTCCCTCCATTAGTGTTAGTGTTGTTTATCTGGTAAAAAAGGTCCTTAAATCACATTTAAAATGACCAGGCGAGATTAGGAAAATAATCTTCTCGAAATTCTTCACACAATTTATTAAGCTTATTTTGAAACTTTAACTGCAATTTTATTTCTGATTTTGGAGAAAAAGATAGGATGCTTACTGATGGGTTAAACTGGACCTGACACATCAATCTTGCAGTTTTCTTCTTCTTCTTCTTGCAGACGGTTCACAAACAAATACATGCTCATCATTTAGTCATTTAGCGTCTCTTTACTGGAAGTTGTGGGATGATTTGCTGAGAAGACACGTTTTGAATACAAACACAGAATAACACTGAAACAAGTTTAACAAGTATGCAAGTCACACTGTGTCTTTAATTAACTGTTTTTAACGCCTGGTTCACAGCTCCCTAATGATGGGTCTGATAACTGTGTCACTTTATTGGTGCATCTAACTTGGACTGAAGCACACTACAGGTTAAAAGTGGAAAAGTTCAGGGTTGTTGTTTGCTGAAAGCTGGTTATAGAATCAATCAACACCTTTAGGATTATAAAATGTCTTTCGGTGCAGAATATTTGCATCAGTACTGAGGAGAATAAGAGATTTTATTAGGGCATTTAACAAATCAGGCAGTTTTCATTCATTTTCCAGGTTTCTGCAGATCTCTAAACCCTTACATTTGGTTTTAAAATCTTAGGGCCATGAAATATCTTTAAAAATATAAAAAATGAATCCGTGTTAATATGATAATTGACTTAAAACATGTCAGTCAGCTCTATTGTGCATTTGCTTTTGTGATGATACAGCTTTCATTTTAAAATCTATAAATGCTTTAGATTTTCAACTGTGCAGATAGTCTAATGACATCATTCTTTTTTATTTATGTGGAATTGACTCAAAGTAGGAACCAGTGTGTCTGTTATGGACTTCTTTCACAAACAGATTACAAGAATACTAGTCAACTGTTTATGCTGATGGTTGTTTGTTGTTGTTTTGATGTAGTGTGTTTTGATGTAGTGATAGCAGCAGTTAAAGCATAAATCAGGTGATGACCTGATTTATGCTTTAACTGCTGCTATCACTGAATCACACTATAGTTGAAATATGTGAACGGGGTTATCAGCCATGGTAATTGGATGTGAGCTGCAAGTTGCCTCATGTCGGATATTTTATTAGGTTCATCTTGCAGTTAAGTGTTAAAGATGAGCATGTTGTGCGTCATTGCTGGATGATATTTTAACCCTTTGTGGTCTTAGCCACTGTTTTTATTTTACTCAGACTTCTCACTTAAAATACCATTAAGGTTCATTCTATAAAAACACAATCAGTGCCTCTCACCTGACCCCCATAGAATAAGGCGATTTTAGTTTCATTTATTTTTTTGGCTAGAAGATCAGCCTTGTATCAAATTGTAGGTAAAATGAGACCTTTGATTTGCTATAACTTATTTGGACCTACCACCAATCCCACATGGTGATTTCACCCTTGAAAGTTTACCGAAAATGCAATTTTAAAGCAAAAAACAAGGCTTTAGATTGTGACAAATGTGAATTTGATTAATGCTGCTGCAGCTCAAATGTGTTCTTCGGCCCTAAAATACCATGTGTCTGTCTCCTGGGCTCAAAAATGCCAGAAAAAGTCACTTGAATTTTAAAGTGCCAAGTTTTTAAACTACGTACTTGAAGGGCCTGTAACAATGAAAATATTCATAGTTTTAAAAGTAACATTTGCAGGGCTTCATTTAACCCTCCTATTACCTTCAAGTTTACGGACAACTTTTATCCTTGGGTTCAATTTGACCCCAGCAATTTAAACCCCCACATCCATCCATCCATTATCTATACACCGCTTAATCCTCACTAGGGTCGCGGGGGGCTGGAGCCTATCCTAGCCGACTTAGGGTGAAGGCAGGGGACACCCTGGACAGGTCGCCAGTCTATCACAGGGCTACACTCAGAGACAGACAACCAAGTACACTCACATTCACACCTACGGACAGTTTAGAATCACCAATTAACCTCAACATGTTTTTAGATGTGTGGGAGGAAGCTGGAGAACCTGGAGAGACCCCACTCTGCACGGGGACAACATGCAAACTCCACACAGAAAGGTCCCGGTGCCCCCCTGGGACGCGAACAATCAAAATTGTTACCCAAGTTTATGTGTAAATAGCCCTTTAAATAAAACTGAAAGAAATATGTCAGTCACTTATTTAGAGATGTTAAACATTGAATGGGTTCAAATTGACCCAAAAGATACTAGGAGGGTTAATGTACTGAAGTTTTTTTTTTAAAATCTGCTAATTCGGAGGCAAGGGTGGGGCGCTGATAGATTTTTCATGGAATCTGCATGTACAGCAGTCAGTGACGGTGCAGGTAGAAACTTTTTTCAGATTTGCTTGATGTTTTTTTTTTTTTTTGTCTGAAATTCCATATATTAGATAATATAGTTTAAAATGCAGTTCTGACTCATTTTTCAGCTCAGTAAAACTATGTTTGGCTTCTTCTGACTTTTGTTCCGAAAGTTCAGGTAACAGACAAAAGTATGAATTCTGAACACTGAATAACAAACTTCTCCTTCTGGTCCCCAAACAGAAAAATAAATTGGACGGTAGCGCTGCATCAGAAGGAAACACAAGCACTTCATCTGAAGAGCGAGACACTCTACTACCAGACAAGACAGACTGACACACACTCTAATAGACACACCCAGCTGGTGCTGTGGACTCCTGACGACTAAAACCATTCCAGTATCTTGAACTGAAACACTGTCACGAGCTGCTCTGCTCTGTACAGTGAATCAGACTCAATTTTATTTTACTGCACTGTAAAGTTTATGAAACTCTCAGCCAAAGACTCACTTCATAAAACATGTTCGTGTGGAGGCTGATTTGTCTCTCGAGGCAAAGTGAGTGGAGATCACTGAAAACCTGTTTTTGTATAAACAACTACCAAAAGAAAAAAAAATGTTTTAAATGTGTTCATTCTGCTCTTGATGGGAACATTTTTATGACTTGACCAGGAGCAGTAGAAGACAGTTGCTGTGGTAGACATTTTCTGTGATTTTAGAGAAATTATAATCGGAATCAGAAAAACATTATTGATACCTGAGGGGAAATGTTTCTGTATTAACAACAAGGGAATGAAATGGCAGAAAAGCTCAGTCTCTGTGTGACAGCTGCCAGGTTTACAGTATTTTACTACCAACGTGCCTTTAAGAGGAAACATTTCTTTGTTTACTCTGGCTGACTTCCAGGTCCTTGTATTTTACATTTGCTGTTTATGGAGAGGAGTTAAATTTGCTGTTGAGCCTCAAGTAGACTATCAAGCACTCTTCTGACAACCAGCAAGAGCAAATGCACTCCAATGTGTACCCTGCTGTCTTCTGAAAGGTGTGAATGTATTTCTTGATGCCATTTGGTGTCGAGCACCTCATGTTATAAATAAGTGAATGAATTAAGAAAAACACGGAAGTAATAATTCATCTGCGTGATCACATTTTACATCGATGTTGATCTCTGAAATCCAGACTCTCTGTGTTCTGCTGTCTGATCTTTGACTGATGTTCAATTCTTTTGTCTTTTAGAAACAAAATTGGATGTAAATAAACATTAACTAAAGAACAAGGCTGATTATTGACTGGCTGATTTTTAGAGATGGGTATTATCACAGGTAAGGTAAGTCACCTGCTGCAATGTCAAAAAGTACTGTAAAATAAAAGAAAATACAGTAGTTTTCTATAAATATAAAAACTTTTTAGCCCTAATTTTACAGATTGTGTAGTTCTTTTCTTTTTGAGGTTTAAAGATGGATATGAAGAAATTTAAGGATATTTACATGTATAGAAACAATGCAAGTATGTACAGTTTTATAGTTTGTGTGTGTAAAGAAATAAAATTAAAAAAAACTGTAACAGTAGCTTAGGCACCAAATTTACCTGAAAATAACCACATCATAAAAGCAGTTAGTTTTCAAAATTAAAATGGACATACATTTTTTTTTTAGCTTCAATTTTACCTGAGATCATTTTTTATATATATATATATATATTTTTTTTAGATAAATGCTAATGTTTACTGAACGATATTTACATTTGTAAAATCAAATATATTAGACAGCCTGTAAAAAGTATTCATCCCCCATTGATGTTTACCCTTTGCATTGCTTTTCATGACCATGAATGATGGTCAGCATCATTTGGCTTGTGTTCACCCCCCTTAAAGGGACTCACCAAATTCAACACAGAAGCAGCCAGTTGGTGCTGGAAGTTACAAAATTAGTGAAATAGAGATAATCTGAGTGCATTGGTCGTGGCCCAAGTGATTGCAGTATAAAGACATTTGTATATTGGACGGTGTAGTCACTGGTGAATCAGTAGTCAGATAGGCAGCACGAGCCAGCATATCACAGGGGTTATGAAGTGGGCACCTCCTTTCACTGATGTTTCGTTAAGTTAGGCCCAGACGTTTCAGAGAGTCTTAACAGTGAGCTTTGGCATCCCATAGTCACCCCTTCCATGCCAGCTCCCACCACATCCATTAGCAGAACACCCCAATTTACCAACAGAACCTACACAGTACTGTCACGTTCAACAGACCCTGACTTCATACATGCGAGCTCCAAGTCGTGACAACGCTGATACTACCTTCCCTATTTTGGCCCCCAATTGACATTATTTTTCCTCATCCAGATTCACTGACTTGTCCATCCATCCATTATCTATACACCGCTTAATCCTCACTAGGGTCGCAGAGGGCTGGAGCCTATCCTAGCCAACATAGGGCGAAGGCAAGGGACATCCTGGACAGGTCGCCAGTCTATCACAGGGCTACACTTAGAGACAGACAACCAAGCACACTCACATTCACACCTACGGACAATTTATAATCACCAATTAACGAGGGCCATCTGATATTTCTTTTACCATCTTTCGCTGATTCTGTCCACACACTCCCAGTTCTCCCAATAATGAGATGGTTGATCATACTACAAACCTTCTACATCCTACTACTGCTGGACGAACCCTAGCTCTCCAACCTCACTGTCCTGTTTCTGCTGCCAACTTTGCATATCTAAACTGTTCTTTCATATGCCTTCACCACTGAGTCCTCACAGGGCACTGTCAGACTTTTTGCTAACTGATCGACCACAGCACTATGTCAGGCCTCAGGTTAGTGCAGACTATCTCCTGTGGCACTACAAGTTTTCCTCCCAAATCTACCTACATCCAATCCTTACATCCCAATCCTTAGTGCCCTTTAGCTGGCTTGACTGCCTATTTACAAACCTACCATCTTTGAATTTCTCTCCTTCAAGGACCAACTGAATGGCTGCACTCTTTCCCTGATTATATCCTGAGTTCACCTGTTGTTTCCTACTTTCAATCCCTGCCGCTAAGCTTTTTTAATACCTGGTTTTGTCGCCATATATAATAACCTTGACTAATCTTACAACCTGACAGAATATGCTTTGAAGTTGCTGTCACTGTACACAATGGGTCCCCCCCTACCCAAAGTTGTGGTCTGTCCAGTTATGCTTCCTCTTTTGTACACTCTCCTAATTTAACCCCCTGTCCTTGCTTAGCCCGATCCACTGCCTTTGAACACTAATGACTTCCTCTTCCTGACGTATTGGCTACACTACCACTTTCCTTCATTCTTTAGGACTTGCCTTGTTCCTCACTGGCCTGTCTGACCTAAGCCTTTAGCCCCCTGTGACTCTGCTGCATGTTCCCTACAATCTCTAATGTCTGTCCAAGAGCTGCCTTTGCTTCCTGTACTGCATCTCCTGGAGTCCATTTCCCACCTTTAGCTGGATTTGGAACCAACCTACCAACTACTGTGTCTTTGTTCCAAGATAGCAACATCTCTGTCCTGACTTTCACATACTTGAACTTCTCTGTTAAGCTGGTATTACTGATAGCTGGAGTATGCCCTTTCCATACAATGCCACATTACTAAGACACAGAGGAATTCCTAACCATGTCCTAATGTATGAATTCACCATCCTCTCTATTCTTTCCACCTTTGAAGTCAGAAGTTCATACACTGACAGTGGCGAGATCAAACTAGCAAACAGACCATGGCAAACGCCCAAGCTTCAACTTTCCGGGGAGCTCTATCTGATCACTATTATGCCTCATCTGTATCTTCTTGAGATTCTTATTTAATCTCTTTAGTAACCTTTTTGTACGCAGCAATGTTGTGGTTACTTGTATCATATCATCTATATAGACACTAATAGGTGGGAGCCACATCCCATTCTGCCGCCACTGCTCTGATGATGACCTCCATCGCCATCATAAATGCTAGTGAGGAAATAGTACACCCTGCCATAATCCCTACTTCTAGTCTCTGCCACTCTGTTGTGAGTCTGCTGTACTTACACACATTGTAACATTTTGGAAATATGCCCACACCAGGTTTACAACTACCACTGGGACATTAAAAAGTCAAATGCACTCCAAATGAGGCTGTGTTACTGAACCAAATGTACTGGCCAGGTCTAAAAATACCTCATGTAGATTTCTTTTCTCCGTCTTAGCTGCTTTAGTCTGGTGCAATATCACACTAATGTGTTTTATGCACCATGCACATCCTGGGATTCCTGCTTTCTGCACTGTAGTATCCATTCCTCTCTAAATATTTTGCTAGCCACTGTGTCACTATACTCAAAAAAAATCATACCCTCTACATTTGGGAGGGATGTAGTCCTAAACTGGCTTAAACCTGAAAACTCTTTCTCCTTGGGAATTAGATTCCACCTGCTTCACACCAAGCCTTTGGGATGACTTGTTTATCCCACACTCTTCTGAATAACTTCCCCAAGAATTTAACAACATCAGACGTACTTTTATAAACCTAGTAGGGGACTCCATTCGGCCTAGGGCTGAAGAAGCCTTTGCACGCCTCAATATAGCCTCTACCTTCTTCCACCTAAGTGGCCTTATATCCATGGGATATTTCAGAATATTTCAGGAAGAAGGCCCATGTTTCCAATCTTCCTTGGGTGTGAGTGTTTTTTTTTTTTTTTTTTTTTTTAAGGGGTTTTCTAACTTGAAAGCCTTGAGTTGCCCTCTGTTTTCTTAATTAAGCAATCCTTCTTTCCTTCTCCTTTTTCTTCCTCCTTAGATGTTCTGCCCTCCTGAGTATTGCAATCCTCCACCCTTTTCCTATCATTAATCCCAAGTCTTTCTGCACCACATGCATAAATGATGTCCCCAATTCTCTCTAATAGAATAGAATAGAATAGAAAAATACTTTATTTATCCCAGTCTGGGAAATTACTGTGGTACAGCAGCAAGAGAAAAACACCAATCCCAACAGAAAAAGAGCCAAAGTTAAATACTATTTTAAAAAATAAAAATAAGTGAATAAAATAAAATAAATAAAACAACTGTACAAAATGTGCAAATCGAAAAAAACAGTGCAAAAGACAAAGGGTTTTACAGAGCAGAGAGCTGAGAATGCTCTCTGCCAGACAGAGGTGAGGTGTTGTACAGAGTTATTGCTCTGGGCAGGAAAGATTTCCTGTACTGGTCCTTGTGACAGCGGAGCTGAATCAGTCTGTTTGAGAAGGAGCTCCGCTGCCTGTCCAGAAGGGGGTGAAGAGGGTGGTCGGGGTTATCCAGAATAGATAACAGCTTAATTTACTCATCGCTGTTCCCTCAAGCCCATCTAACAGGGTAAAGGGTAGGGAAACAGTAAACAAGGATCTGTCATTTGCCCCAGGCCATGTAACTCTATGCTTTTGTCCACAATTTCTCTGTCTGGCTGGTAGACTGACCTCTGTATCATCCACATCCCTTCCTCTAGCACTATCCCCCTCAGTGGCAGATTCACTAATATGCTACAAACTCATTTCCACCTGTAGCTGGACATCAGCTGACTGACTCAGCTGACATTTCAAGAAGTACGGATCAATGCTGCGACTCTGCACTACCTTCACCATGCACTTCTTCTTCCCTTGATTTGTTCTAAGGCGCCTGACTGTAGTTACATTTTGCCAAGCGCAAGGGTAAAGCTCCTTTCTTCTGCCATTCTATGCCAGTCCTCTATTAATGCTCTTTTTAAAAATGTTTTTTAACAGGGTAGCTCTGCTACTGAAACTTACAGCTGTACGTACGGAGGAACAAACTGATTTTGTTGGAGTGCTGCAGGTTAACATTGGTCTAGGTTTTGTTCACATGAGGAAATCGACGGAGTTTTCCCCTCGTTCTCACATCTCGCCCGTCATCTTCCCCGATGAAAGCGCTGATCACGGGTGAACAGGTAGAGAGATTTAACGCAGAGGAATTTGACCTCTTTATCTGTACTGCGGTCTTTATCTTCAGCGATAATGACTTCCAGTTCTTCTCAGA